GGGGGCCTGGGGTGGGGGTGGGGGGAGGGATTTTTCCCAGGGATTCTGGGTCTTCCACTTTCCCTGAGTTTTATTCCAGATCAGAGCATGGGTGCCCGATATTCTAGGATTCCCTAAAATTATGGCATTTCTGTATGCGGACAGCGAGGCTCACATGGGCCTGCGTTCATGTGTACAGACCTGTACACACGCATGCGCGTGCGCGCACACACACACACAGAGGCTTATTCTCAGGGACTTTCCAGAGTCTAAACTCTGTTTCCAGTTGGGAGTGGGGTGGGGTTGCTGAGGCTTTCTCTTACTAAACATTCTTCCAACATGCTTGTTTATGGTATAAATTTTGTTGTGTGCAGTCCTGCAAGATTTAAGCTTTTAAAGCAAAAAAGAAAAGAAAGAAATCTGTGTTCTTGAAACTCACAAGACAGGGTCTGCTTTTCCTATGAATCATCCCTCCCCGGGGGCAATGAGTGCTGCGGCCTGACTGAGGGGAAGCACAGCCCACACGGAAATGGGGAGGGAGGGGCACCCCATTTGCTTCTCAAAACTATGAAACCAGCTCTAGGTCAGGAGCCGCCTTCGTCGGAAGGTTTTAGGGATTCCAGGCCGCAGAAAACCCAGGGTCCAGGCTCCATGTCCTGGTCCCAGAGCACAGTCGTGGGGAAACCGAGGGATGGCAAGTTGCTGGTTTCCGGAGCCACCCTGAGGGCTGAGTGAGGACCAGGCCGGGCGGGTCCATCTTCACCTGCAGGTTAGCGATCCGATCGGAGCTCGGCTTTGAGTTACGAGCCAGCCACTTCCTTGTGAACTTTTCATTTCTTTACTCAAAAACTTTATTGTTTCCTTTGAGTAAGCTGCTTTGTGGCAGGGTTCTCCTCTGACTCATTTTATAGAATAATCCTATAATTTGAGGGTACGCAGCCAATGGCTTAAGAAACCCTCATGGAAAAACCGCAGCCTCTGCCGTCCGTGCTGAGAGCCATGTAGGCACGGGGGTTACTCACCTTCTTGATCCGGCTGCAGATGGCTACGAGTTCCTGGAGACCCTGAAACAGGTGGCCCGGGACAACACCGACAACCCGGACCTGAGCATCATCTGGATCGACCCGGACGACTTCCCTCTGGTGAGTGGCTCAGACCCGGGCCCGGCCGTGGTCGCCGTCACAGTCTCATGCTTGGGGTGGTGTGAGGGCCTCTCACGTGAAGGAGGATGTGAAACAGGAGGGGCACATGCATAAACTCAATGGCCACCCCATCCAGCACGGGAGATCTTGGCCACTGGGGTAACATTGACTTTGGGGCCTGGTGCTGACCCTGACGTGGTTAGATATATTTGTTCTCACTCCATGGAGACCAGAAGTCTCAGCTGAGCTGGTGAAATGCTTCTGCCAGCAGCCCCCTAGCTGCCTGCAGCCCATCACCACCCACTGCTGTAGCCTCTCTCATTTTTCTGGGTGGGGACCGTGGTTCTGAGGCGACCCAGGTCCTAAGTGATGAGAACCAGACGTGAACTCTTTGCATAGAGCCCAGAGCTGCAGGGGGAGGAGGAGCAACCTCTCCAGGGCAGGGACCCTGTCTCCGTCGGGTTCTCCCAGGTCCTGGCCTAGTGTCCAGCCCGGGATTAGCGTGCGTCAGAGCCTTAAAAGTCCGAACTCTTGCTGGTGTCAGCGATCAATGAGCAGCAAGCCTTGGTTGTGCTTGGTTTAAAGAGAATAAGCAGAATTTGGACAATGCACAAGCCCAGTGGTGACGATCATGAATGTAGCTGCTGTGTACTGTATGCCTGGAACTAAGGTAAGTTCTTCACATGTATCACCTCATCTAATCCTCTCAACACCCTGTGAAGTGGGGACTATTATAATCCCCGGGTCACAGAGGACAGGAACGGCAGCTGGAGAGGTCAAAACAGTGACTGGTCGGTGTGATGTTCCAACCCAGGTCTACGTGATGCCAAAGCTTCGCCGGTCAGTCAACAGACCTCAGGTTGTGCTAAGTGCTGGTCATCAGAACACGTTTCATAGGTTATAGATGGCAAGTCTAGCTTCTTCCAGGAGTTACCGTTCGGTGCATAGGCCAGGACTGGTCGTGCTATGGTTAAACAGACAACACCGAGGGGTTTTAGTGATCGCAACCAAGGCAGGGACTTCCGTGACACCTGAGGTCAATGCCATCATTTCGGGCGATTGTAACAAAATCACGGCCCTGTGAGGCGCTGTATGCTGTGACTTTGGCCACGGCCCGAATGCATTTCTAATTTATCAGGACTGTTTGGTTATGCAAGCTTGCGGATGGTCTGCAGCTCTGACCTGCTCTATATCTTTGCCTTGCTTTTTGCAAAGGAAAAAATCTCCGACTATTCTGATTTCCAGGGCCGATCAGGCTATATATTGGCTTGGGAGACTTTCCACCATGGAACGCCTCCGTTTTTAGCCCATGGCCCCCCATCATTTAGACCCACCCCGTCGGAGATCAGCCCACATGCCTGGCTGAATGAAGAGGCACGCTTCTTACTTGTATGCCAACTGACGGCGCGTCACTGCTTTCTCAGCGACCTCACGGGCAGGGTGGCGCAGCGTAAGGGGTTTTTAAATGGGGCATTGAGAGAGGCGGAGGGAAATCTCTCCCACCACATAAACTATAAAGAGCCCCAAGTAATTTGGGGATCGACTTTAGACCACCTCTGCAACGCTCCCCCCTGCAGCTGCACACGCGTCCACACGACACGTTTCATGGTTTGTTATGACATCCTTTCTTCCCGTGCTGATTTAAAGGGCTGTGGGCTGGGCAAGTCTTCAATTTCTTAAGTACCCGCAGCTGTTGGGAGCCCTTTACCCAGCGGTGACCTAGTTACTATGATGGGATGGCAGGTGGGGGCACCACAGAAAGTGATTTTAAGGGAATGCCCTGTCCCCGCCGTCTAATTTTACCTTCTGTTACCACAGCTCATTGCCTATTGGGAAAAGACTTTCAAGATCGACCTATTCAAGCCGCAGATTGGGGTGGTGAACGTGACAGATGTGAGTACGCCCCGTGGAAGCTTGCCCAGGCCCCCGTGGCCGGCCCCGTGTTCTGCCGAGCAGCCTTGACCGTGAGGTCCGCAGGGAGTCCAGTCCCTCATAAAGGAGCAGGACCCTGGGCCCTGCCCAAGCTCAGCGTGGCCCTTGCCTCGTCTCGGAGCCAGTCCCAACCTATGGTTCCCTGGTTCCCTTCCACGGCGCATGTCCTTGATTATGGGGCCAGCCTGACCTGGGTCACGGCCTATTTGGGAATAAGCCCCCCCGTACTTTCTTCCAATGCCCCGAAACAAGGTCTCTTCACACAACGGACCCCGCACTTGGAGCTGCCATTGCAGGGGGATGGTGGCCCATCCCCTGGCACCAGGTTGCAGACAGGAGACGGGGTCACAGGAATCAGGAGGAAGCCATGGGGTGGCGGGGCTTCTCCTCACCATCCAGGCCCCACTTGGCCCGAGGGCGGGAGAGGCTAGTGAGGAGGACTGGCCGAGCCTGAGGAATGGCAGACCTCAGGCCAGACATCTGATGCAGCTCCACACAACAACACACAGGGGACAGACACACCAGGCAGACGGGTAATGGGCGGAAAGGGATGGTCACAGAGGGTCCATCAGAGCCACAGCTAACTGGAGCCGACGCGTGTGAAGGGGGCCCGTTAGCCATTCCTCTCGCCCTGTCGGCAGGGTTCAGTCAGCTGGGGAATTCTACATTGACGTATTTTGTAAACTAGTTTTTATATTAATAATAATGTCAACAATTTGCTCAAGTTGAAACACTTCAAAACAACAGTAGGATATAAGGTGAAAAGCAAAAACACTCTGCACTGCCGACCCCATCCTAGTCCGATCCCTGCGGGAAACGTGGGTGGTAGTTTTGTGGCTATCCTACCAGAAATGTAATCCTATATAAGAAAGAGCTAATATGCTAATTAGACCGAACAGCAGAACCACCGTCTGGATGAGGCCAGGGCTGAGAGGACCGAGTCCCTTGCACGAATTTCGTGCAACAGGCCTCTAGTATATATAAAATAGAATATGTAATTAAGAAGTAGAAACTGGTAGTTACAAAACAGTCGCAGGAATGTAAAGTACAGCGCAGGGAATACAGTCACGAATATTGTGATAACCATGTATGGTGCCAGGTGGGGACTGGAAATACCGGGGGGACCACTTTGTCAAGTACATGATCAACTACCCACTACGCTGCACACCTGGCCCCAACACGGAAGACTGTTAAGACAGTAACAAAGACGAAGAGCCACATGTTACCAGTAGTATCAACTCATGAGCAGCACCGGACTTCATTAATCAATTAAAATCATTAAGAATGGGATATAGATGCTGTTAGGTAGGGATCTATATAACAGCCGCGTGGGGCCCTCGGCTCTGACTCGGCCGCGTGCCTCGATCACTGCCTCATCCTGCCCCTCCCCGCAGGCCGACAGCGTCTGGATGGAGATTCCGGATGACGACGACCTGCCCACGGCCGGGGACCTGGAGGACTGGATTGAGGACGTGCTTTCTGGAAAGATAAACACCGAGGAAGACGACAAGGAAGATGATGATGATGATGACGATGATGATGGTGACAGTGAGAATTCTGATGAGGAGGAGAATGATGACAGTGACGATGATGATGACTAGCTCCGGCTCCACCTGGTTTTGATGAAAACGGAATCCCGGCTCCCCCCTTCCACACGGACAGCACCAGGTGGCAGCCAGCAGCCCCGGCCACGCCCAGCCGCTCCTCCCCCTCTCCCAGCATCTCTTCCCACCCCTTCCCATCAGGAGCTGTACCAGTCAGCACATGCACATGCCTTTCTAAATCCAGTCGCCCCGCTCGGCAAGGTCAGGGGGGAACCGTTCCCCTCTGGATGGTCCTGACCGTCACGGGAAAGCTCTGCTCTCTGACCGCCATCCGTGGCCATGGCAGCGCTGGACTCTGGCAGTCCAGGGAGAGCCCTCCCCTCACACCGCTACTCAAGTTTACTTGTCTCCTCTGACTCCGACAGGGACAGAATGGACAGCTTGCTAACTCGCCAACACGCAGTGGCCGTATTATCATCAGAGCCGAGGGAAGACACACAATTAATCCTGTAGCCGGTGCCTGGCACATCGGTGAGACCCTCGTAGGGGAGGCTCAGCCTTGGAGACAGGCTTATGAGGCAGCTTCTCTTGGCTCTATGAAGCTTATTCTTCAAGTGAAGGTCAGACCATGATGAGCGCAGATCCGAGCCTTTGGATGGCTATCGAGAGGCCTTGTACCAGCGCATGTGGATGGATGTCACCATCACTTCCAGTATGTGGGGCACTAGGAGGGAGGTTAACGTGCTCTCTGAACTTCCCTTGCAACGGTTCTCAACCTGTGGGTCGCCACCCCTTTGGCGGTCCAACGACCCTTTCACAGGGGTCGCCTAAGACCATCCTGCATATCAGATATTTACATTACGATTCATAACAGTAGCAACATTACAGTTATGAAGTAGCAACGAAAATAATTTTATGGTTGGGTCACAACATGAGGAACTGTATTTAAAGGGCCAGAAGGTTGAGAACCACTGCCTTAGGGACAAGTCTCACATAGGGGAGGGGGAGACACTGAGAGAATGAAAGGATTTTATTTTTTCTGATGGGTCAGGTGGCTTCCTAGCCTGAGCTCGGGTCTAGACACCCCCTCCCATTTGGAGAAAGGGTTGGTTTATCCAGAGGTCAGTTAACTCTGCTTTCATCAGCACTCCCACAGTTGACCAGGACAGTAAACAGAGTTTATAGTGATGCCCCGAGGCACTAAAATAAACATGCTCAAGTGCCTTCAGAACTCTCTAAAAGTTATATCGTGCTCGGTAGTTTTAGCGTTAAGTTTGAATAATAATGTTCTAATTTATTTTCTCAATCTTTTGACATGTGTAAGACACTGCAAATTCTTCAAAAATAGGGCAATCCTTTTATGGAATACTAGCTAACTAACTGTCATTAAAGTCATATTTTGAAAATATTAAAACTGTCTCTTCTTTTTTTTTTTTTTGGAGAATTTTTATGAGTTCATTTGAGCCAAACTGATGGCCAATGCCGAGGAGCAAGACCCAAAAGCTCCCCAATATTAAGACTATCTTGGAAATCCTTTCTGATTTTCTGATCCTGCTCCCATTCCCCCCCCCCCTCTCTTTCTCTCTCTCTCTCTTCAGTTTTCCTTTCTGGCCTTCCTTCCTCTGCCCACCCTTTAAATGTTAGTGTTTCCCAGTATCTCAACTCTTTCTGACATGTTTCTAGGGTAGGATCATCCATGCCCATCAGCTACCACCTATGTGCTAATGACTTCCATGTCTGGGTTGCTAACCTTGACTTAGACCCATCTATTCAACTGCTCTTGGACATCTTGGTTTGGATGTTGCACAAACACTTCAAACAATGTACCAAAACCCAAGGCCATTACCTTCACCCCTAGGGTTCCCCTCCTCCTCTTAGTGGAGCCCCAGTTTGGATGAGTGATGTCACCATCTATCCAGTTGCCTAGGTCAGTGGTCGGCAAACTGCGGCCCCTTGAGTGTGGCTCTTCCACAAAATACCACGTGCAGGTGCGCACGTACAGTGCGATTGAAACTTCGTGGCCACACTCAAGGGGCCAAAGAGCCGCATGTGGCTCGCGAGCCGCAGTTTGCCAACCACTGGCCTGGGTGACCTGGCCCCTTCCCTTCTATGTCCATGGCATTTTGTATGTACCCTGATTCGCAGCACTTACTTATTTATTAATATATATTTTTTAATTGATTTAAGAGAGGAGGGGAGAGAGAGATAGAAACATCAATGATGAGCGAGAATCATGGATTGGCTGCCTCCTGCACACCCCCTACGGGGGATCTAGCCCGCAACCCAGGAATCAAACTGTGACCTCCTGGCTCAGAGGTTGATGCTCAACCACTGAAGTCATGCCAGCCATGCTCACCACACTTATTTAAATTGCAACACATATTTCATATTTGCCCTTTCAGTAAATTGTGGGCAAGGAATTTATCTTTGCATCCCCAGCACCAAGTAGATAGTCTGTTATTGAATTGATGAGCGAATAACTGATTCATCAGAATACCCGTAACACCCCAGGACTGCTGGGTAACAATGCATAATCCCCAGGACTGCTGGGTAAAACACTGCATGCAGGGCCTCCGTCCTCTTATTCTCGCCCCCCCCCCCCCCACACACACAACTCGAGGCAGGCGCATCCCAGGCTGGGCTACACTGCCAACCAGCCAGGCCCAGGCTTACCTCCAGTAACCTCTCGGGGAGGTACGTTTTCACAGCCATCTTTGAAGCTAATCTTTCAAACAGCCAAGGAATGTGGTCCGTCATAAAAGTGGTCTGTTCCCCAGCCCGGGGAGACCCCCTTGTTCACCCTGGGAGACGGTGAGCAATGCACAGGCGGTTTAAATCCCGCCCTGAGCTCCTGTGTCAGAGGCTCTGGGGGTCACTGTCTGGAAGCAGCTGCTTGGTCACTGGTCTGAAACGTTTGGAGCTGATAGTTACGGAATGTTTGGCCTGGAGCGCGATGCCATTGCTTTAACGTGAATGATCTCACTTCATCTTCACAAGGCTCTCAGGAGATGGGTCTGGTTATTCTCCCCATTTTACAGACGAGGAATCTGAGAGGGACACGGGGGGCTCGTGTCATTTTCCTGGGGTCACACAAACACTTTAAAAGAGGGTCACTATAATCCCATGTTTACACTTAAATCAAGGATTTAAACGAAATTCCTAAAATTAAGGAATCAAAGGATCCCATTTCTTTTTCTCAGAAAGTGTCCGAAGATGAACTCAAGTGCATGTCCCACAATCCTTTTCACTGATTACACCAAGAGACCCCTTCTCCGTTCATTTCGGAGGCGATGATCCATTTAAACAGTATGGGGGATGTCAGATCATTAGAATGTCAAGGTCATCCTATTAGGAAAAAATAACTCACTTGTGTTATCAAGAATGCACAATCATTTTCATGAGCAAGAAGCTGGAACAGGAAAAATGTGCAAAGCACCTCGTGTCATTTCCACAAATGCATCATCATTTTGTCTGGAATATGAATTCTCAGAACCACAGTAATAAGATCAGATATAGATACAGACAACATACCCAAAAGTCCAACATAGCTTTGCTTGTCTGATGTCAACAGCAGCCCGTGTAATGAGAAGATGCCTGTATGACACTTTGACACCAACAGGGAATTACTGAGTTTCCCTTCAAGCAGAGACACTGCTGTTCCCACGCCCCTGCCTCTGGCACTGGCTCTGCCTGATGCCATCCTGATACCTGTCACTCCACGTCCATCACCTGGTAGCTTCTCACTGAGACTCTCAAAACTCTGCAACATTCTATGGCTGCACCATGGGGAATGGATGGAAAAGAAAGGAATCTCTGGTTTATGTCCGCACACAGCTTTCATCTTTTCTCCAGTAGCGTTTGTTCATGAGGATATAAATGGTGCACATCTTGGCTGACGGCCCAGAGAAACAGCTTATCAATGATCTATACCATGAACATGTTCACACCAATTGCTTTCTCTCACTCCTGTCCATGCAACAGATAAGAATGTGTGAGCTGTCGGCGCTCCGCACAGGTAAAGAGATAGCTGAGTGAAAATCCATTTGTCAAATAATCAAGCTCCCTTTAAATAGAGCTAGCTAAAATAAATCACCAATTTAAACTGAAATACCAAGCCACTCACAAAAACAATCCAATATTCACCACCACCACCACCGCTACCCCAAATCCAGCGTATGACACTTTTCTCACTCTTGACTCAAAGATCTTTTTTCCATTTATGGATTTACTCAGAAAGGCCTGTTTCATCTCCAGGTTTTAGAGCCTAAGATTTCCAGTAGTCTATTCATTTAGAATATTCTCTTGGCCATAAAATGATTGCAACCAGGTGTGTGTGTGTGTGTGTGTGTGTGTGTGTGTGTGTGTGTGTGTGTTTTAAATGCAATGGTGATTCTACTTTCCCATTCAATCTACCCTAATTGACTTAGTTTTCACAGAAACTTGACAGGTTATCTCTAATAAGGTATCTAAATCATGCAAGAGCGAAAATGTCCCGTAAAAGTCTTTAGATGAGAAAGAGAAACAAAATTCCACTTAGGATTTCTGCTTATTTTCCAAGTTTTACAGAATAAAAAATGTAACATGTAACATGAGTTCACTGGGACGGGGGATTCAAAATGACCGGGATGCCAGGCACACCCTGTCCCTCAGAGACACTGGCACCGTTACTGATGCCACAAGGAGAGGAGGTCACAGCATAACCTGTGAATGCAGGCACGCGTGCTCCCGCAGACGGCTGCTGGCCGACCATTCATTCATTCACGTGTTCGGAATGTCTCCGAGAGCCCGCCGCCCTGAGGGTGCAGGGAGTCACACCAGACTCGCCATACACACGTGATTCTCAGGAGTTGAGGCTGGTCAGCAAAACTGGCCCTCCTGGCTACAAAGTGCAGCGTCAGCTAATCCGGGAGAACACGAAAGACCCCGACCACATCCTTGCACAAACGGTTAAGGCTCCGTCAGATACAGCGAGACAGTCTGTCACTCAACTTTTTGGGTTGATGCTGGATTCTGAATCTAGAAATGCAGTTCCTTCAACACAAAAGTCATCGTCAAAGAAACTTCTCTGAATGAGACCTGGCCCCGGCCCCTCTGGCCTGGCATCCGTGTTGAGACTGGTCATCCGCCAGGCTGGCTACGTGCACCCCGCAGTGAGCCGCACCCACCCGGCTGGACACGCCACACATGTGTACTCATAAGCGATGGCTTGGAAATCCAATTGGGTCATAATTTAGGGGTCCAGAAGGGATTGCTAGTTAATGAAAGCCTACATTATAAAGACAAGGAATTATTAACAAAGCTTGGATTTTCTTGTTTATTTTATCCAAATAGTACTTTTGTGCCACAAGAAATACCAAAGACATTCAGGTTAGAAGCCCAGGGGGTGGTCACATTTGTCCCAAGGCTTCAGGTAAGGGTGTTTTTATCCCACTGAGACAAGAAAACACCGATGTGTTCGAGCCGAGATTTCGAGCCGAGATGTATACATTGCAGACTCAGCGCCAATGGGAAGTGACCCTTCGGGAGTTAGGAATCTGTTGTTGTGCTGGGGACACTCCTGATAGAGACTTATTTTACAGGTGAAACAAAACAAGCGGGGTTATCTAAGGAGAGGTGGGACAAGGCCCGGTAAAGGGACTCACAGTCCTGACATCGAATTGTACTCAGTAGTTTGATTTCTTATCTGCCCTTTGACACCTGTCCCCGTTCCTGATGAGCACAATGCCGAGGGTGTGAGCACTGTCCCCGCTTCCCTGTCCTTTACTGAATGCAAACAGCAGGAGAGAAGAGGGTAGTTTAGGCACAACGGAGCCCAGACTTAAAGCCACAGGAACAGGGGAAAACAGGGCTGCACAGCTCCTGGCTAGGCCTGTGGGCGGTCCCTCTCCCCCCAACCCTCTCCCCCCAGCCAGCGACAGGATGTTGACACAGCACAGGGACCAGCACCGGGTCTTGGACACGCCACACATGTGTACTCATAAGCGATGGCTTGGAAATCCAATTGGGTCATAATTTAGGGGTCCAGAAGGGATTGCTAGTTAATGAAAGCCTACATCATAAAGACAAGGAATTATTAACAAAGTTTGGATTTTCTTGTTTATTTTATCCAAATAGTACTTCCGTGCCACAAGAAATACCAAAGACATTCAGGTTAAAAGCCCAGGGGGTGGTCACATTTGTCCCGAGGCTTCAGATAAGCTTGTTTTTATCTCACTGAGACAAGAGCCGAGATTTCGAGCCGAGACACATACATTGCAGACTCAGTGCCAATGGGAAGTGACCCTTCGGGTGTTAGGAATCTGTTGTTGTGTTGGAGACACTCCTGATAGAGACTTATTTTACAGGTGAAACAAAACAAGCGGGGTTATCTAAGGAGAGGTGGGACAAGGCCCGGTAAAGGGACTCACAGTCCTGACATCGCATTGTACTCAGTAGTTTGATTTCTTATCTGCCCTTTGACACCTGTCCCCGTTCCTGATGAGCACAATGCCGAGGGTGTGAGCACTGTCCCCGCTTCCCTGTCCTTTACTGAATGCAAACAGCAGGAGAGAAGAGGGTAGTTTAGGCACAACGGAGCCCAGACTTAAAGCCACAGGAACAGGGGAAAACAGGGCTGCACAGCTCCTGGCTAGGCCTGTGGGCGGTCCCTCTCCCCCCAACCCTCTCCCCCCAGCCAGCGACAGGATGTTGACACAGCACAGGGACCAGCACCGGGTCTTGCCCCAGGGGCGACACGGGCAGCACTGGTTTTTCTGGGGGTGGGAGGATTCTCAAGTTCTTTTCATTGAAAATCCAATGGCATCTGCTTCCGGCGGGGCCACATCTCTGGGCAAACCCAAAGCAAAGGAGCAAAAGCAGTTCCACCTCCGACAAACCCAGGTTCTGGTTCAAGGTGAAGTGTCCGCAGGCCCCTCCTCTGCATCCGAAATGCCAGCTCAGTGAGATCAGACCTCAAGGTACAGTGACCGAGGGATGGAACCGCACACTGGATGCCAACTTCCTCTCACTACCCGAGGCCGTGGCAGGTGTCCCCCTCTCCGACACCCTTTTTCTCACCTGCACCACTGAGGGAACCCACCTTGAGAGGCTGTGAGGATAACAAGGCCCTGGCCTACGTGCCTGGTGAATACGTCAGGACCTTCTCTTCCTTCTTTGACCGTATTCTCTTGTCCAAGACGTGGTCTGGTCTAAAGGTTCCGAGCATCCTCTGGGTTAAAGCTCAGTGAGTTCAGTTCTCGCTGTGGGTCTGATAGCTCCACTCACTAGCACTGAATCCCGGCCATGGGCTGTGCTCTAGGCTCAAGAACAACTCGCATTTACGTGGGATGGAACATGACCACAAGGTTACAGGGTAGTATGTTCACAGCAGGGATTTATTTTTTGTAACAAGATGCAGGAAGCATCAATGCTACCCAGAAACACAGCATCACATTACAATCGCAGGGTCGCTGCGGCAGGACTGTTTAAATATCGTGCCAACGTTCTGTGCTACCCTCAGGGTTCCAGCTCATTTTTTGGATGACGCTCAGTTTTTCAGCTGTATTGGGAAACATACAGTAAGGCTTCCAGGGTCATGGAGGTGGAAGGGTAATTGCCGCAGAACTTGACCTTTCTCTCTGCTGTCAGGTCAGACGGGCCTGAACAAGGTCCCGTGGACTGGCCTGCAGGTGGGCGGGCCCTGCAGGAGACAGCTCAGTGCCAACGCCGCTCACTCCTGGGAGGAGCCGGTGTGACCGAGGGAAAGGGGTACAGGAGGGAGGGAGGGGTCCCTGGCTATGCAGCACCCTCCCAACCATGGGTGCAATTAGGAAAGCTCTCAAACACACGGCCTGTGTAGAAGCACATGTACCTCACATGCTCATCCACAGAAACACACAAACAAGTTACCTACAAAGAGACATACCATCTGCCACAGACAACACAGATGTGCAGGTGCCTAACATGCAAACATGCCATCTACGTGCTAACACACACGCTGAGAAAGGCTCGTGTGCATGGAAACACCCAGCCACACAGGACGCGCGTCGCTGCTGAGAGAGCCTGACACAGCAGGGCCCGGGGGGAAGAGCCAACTGCAGGCCTGATTTGCTGGTCTCACTGAGTGGCTGGGACACTCTCTCCCAGGGGCAGGCATGGGGAGGGGCAGGGTGATCGCGTTCTGCCAACCTGAAAGGCACATGGCTCCCCACTGAGCCATATCCACATCTAAACATGTGCACTCAGAGGGGAAGCTGAGATGCAAGACAGAGGACTCCATGGGAACCTCATCCCTTTCCTACACTCGGCAGCACAGCCTCGTTCTCCCGATGGAAAAGGAGGTCCAAGCTCGGGCAACAAGCCACACACGACACACACATACACACAACACACACAGGCACGTGCACACACACAGGCAGTGCACACACAGGCACACACACATACACACAACATACACAGGCACATACACACAACACACACACGTGCACACACCCACAGGGGCCATCTACCTCTTACCACCCGCTGTGTGGGACCTGTCCTGTCTGTAGATTTGAAGAGGAGAGAGGGAGAAAGGGAGATGGTAATGGCCGGATAGCATGCTGGCCATGCACTTTCTCGAGGGCTTGCTTCATGAACCTGAGCGAAAGCATTCGGTGCTTCGACTTAACTGCTAATGCAAAGGATGGATGAACGACCACACCTTACCATCCCTTCCACCTCCGAGCACGCAGACTTCAACATTCAGGTCACGGGCGATTAAAAATGGCCATTACCTTCGAAAGGACACACTTCAGGACAAAAGTTATCTACTGGCTGAGACACCGCCAGGGAGACAGCGGTCTCAGGCGGGCGCTCATTACCTCCTGCGCTTTAGCAATTAACATCCACAATGTAAAACCTTCGGTTGAAAGTGATAGAAAAATCTATAAACAGTTAAGGCAAATGAAATCTGTCTCCTCTAATGTGGATGTATCTATAGGCGACCAGCCCCAGGGCACAGAACACCCCCTTTTAAGAAGAACAGCCGATTGGTTCCAGGAACTGAAATAAAGACGCACTGTGTTCCAGGGCGGGGTGCGGCTCTTCAGCGTGTTAACGCCATGGACACTGTCCCCGCTATTAAGGGTTTGAACGTGCAAAGTCTGTGTCCAGAGACCCTGCATTTTATTTTGGTATTCTTTCAAAAAAGGGTTCGTACAAAGTCAGTGTAAAAAAAATCAGTATTCAACTTAAAACAGAAACAGTAAAGGGTCAGTGTAAAAAAAAATCAGTATTCAACTTAAAACAGAAACAGTAATTTCAGAAGGTCTGACAAGGCTGAGGGAGAGAGAAACGGGTAGAGAGGAAATATATTAACCTTTCTTCACCTGCGGGGGTGCAGGCACCGAAGCAGCCAATCCGACGTGACCCCTCCGGGGCTGGCAACTGCAGACCGGGCTGGAAGCCTGGGCCCTGGGGACGCTGGTGAGCAGTGAACCACGTGCAGGCACATGGAGGGCGTGTCCACCGCTGTGCCCCCGATGCAGCAGCCTCGGACGTTGTAACCTTCACGCAGCCAAAGTCATAGACATTCACCATCTCCCGAAACATATTCCTGAGAAAGACATCACCCTAAGGAATGTCCAGCTTGAAGGGACCTACAGGCAAACACTAAGGACGGAAGCACCATGGTTACGGGGTGTGTTCCAGCAGCGGAACCGTGCGGTGACACAGCGCACCTCGGCCCCACGCCAGGCCGACTGGCTTCCCTTCCTTCTTTCCCAACACGTCTTCCTTTCGACCTGAAGGCTGTTCGTTCAAGAACACCGTTTTCTTTTTCAGGTACAGATATCCAAAGCCGACTCTGATTTAAAGAACGACACATGAATCCTGTGCCACCTGTGGACGCATAACCAGGGGGCGGTGTGGGAACACACTGAAGCGAGCAGACGGGGCCCTATGTGCCCGGGAAAGCACGAGGGAGCACCTGGTAAAGGTGTGCCGTGGATACAGGAGGCAGAGGGAGGCAGGAGAACCCGGTGTGGCTCCCCCCGAGCCCCTGCACAGGCTTCTGCCGAGCCCCAGCACAGGCCCCGGGAAAGCCCCTGGAACCAGCTGCATTTAAGAAGCTGATCACGGACCCTAAGACTGGCCCCCACTCCCCTTTCCTTATGCTCTGCGGCCCATCCTCCCTCCCTCCTTCTCTCTCTCTCTCTCTCTCTCTCTGGTGCCCTCAGGAATGAAACCAGAGACGTCTTGGTGCATAGGATGACGCTCAACCAACTGAGCCACACTAGCCAGGGCACCTTTCCTTCTCTCTTGACCAAACTCTACAAGCCAGGTCAACACCAGGGGCCGACCAGCCCTTCCCAGGAGTGAGCGGCAGAGGGCAGGAGTGGGGTGCACAGTGACAGTGGTCAGAAATCAGGGGCCGGGCAGCAGCTGTCAGCTGTCAGCGTGGTGGCATAGCCTGGTCTCCCCTGGCAGGCACTCCCGGGACGTTAGAGGCTCCACGCTGAAGCTGCCAGTCCGCCACAGTGTCAGTCCTCCCCGGTGGGTGGGGAGCAGGGGAGGGGAGCAGGGAGGGGTTCTAAGGGACATTCCAGCTGGCTTGCCCTCCTGGCGATCTACGGGGGGCGGCGGAAATCCACGCTTCCCTACGCAAACAATCCGTGGGAGCACCTGAGGCACATGGGCAGGGCCAGGTCCCTGGCAGCTCTGAAGGTTGGGCTTCCCAGGCCGGACCTGCCAGCCACGGGGGGGTGGTGTGTGTGTGTGCATGCGTGTGCATGCGTGTGTGTGCGTGTGCGTGTGTGTGTGTGTGTGTGTGTGTGTGTCTGTGTCTGCTGGGGGAGGGAGGAGGGGAGGGAACGGATGGGTGAAGACAGGTGCCCATCACAGAGTGAGCAAAGGCTACCTGCTCTGGCCGGTAGGGAAACAGGATCAGAAACAGAGCGGCCTGGTTTTCTCTTTGGGAAAAGAAAGATCCAATCGAATCATTAGTGCACATTTTCTGTTGTGATCTCTCTCGGTGAAACCTAAGGCAACAAGGAACAGCCCCTGGCTGCGGGGGGAGTGGAACTGGACCTTTACACACACACACACACACACACACACACGTCTGGCTTCCGGAACCAGGATAAAGACGTGTCCCCTGGGAGCTGTGGAGGGTGTGGCGCCGGAGACGGCGGGGACAAAGCTGTAAGGCGAGGCTCCCAGAGCCGCCCGCTCCACTTTGGTTACAGCTGCCACAGGAACGCCGGGGGACGGCCTCTTGAGAAGTCCCATCCGCCAGTCAGGTGTCCCCCGCATGGATTTCCAGGGCGACACCTCGTCTTCCTTCCAAATAAAGTGCAGGTCAGGCCGCTGGTCCAGCGCCGGCCAGTCTCGGCAATGAACGTCACACACACCAGGTGGCCCTCCGTGCACGCGGATCTCCCTCCCTGTTCTTTTCTTGGAATAAAGCCGCAAACGCAGGACTTTTACACCGACGTCTCCGACTGCAGGCGGAGGACAAACTTGTGCGACTTGGGGTCTACGAACTCCTCCGAGAGCGCGATGAAGGGGATCTTCTTCACAGTGACCACGAGGCCGAAGTCCAGGCACTTCAGGACGAAGACGAGTCCGTCCCGCAGCCCGTTCGTCACGGCCTCGTCACTGACCAGTCGCCACTGTGTGGACAGCCAGCGCTCCTTGTCGTACTGCAGCGTGGGGCCCGCGCGGAGGTAACGCTCCAGGAAGGCCTGGAACAGAGGAGGAAGGCCGTTAGGGAGAGCCACCTGGTCTGAGGGCAGCCCTATTACTGCAGGTCTGCCTCCTCCCACACTGGGAGCTCAGCAGGGCCGGGCACAGAGAACACTCCAGAACATGAGCTGCACACCTGCAGGGATAGACCTGCACGTGCACAGACACCTGCTCTCCCGCCGGCTGGCTCTGGACTGGAGCAGTCACCTAAGCTCTGAAAGTGGGGATGACAGCACCTAACTCACAGGCCTGCTGTGAGGACGAAGTGGGCAACGAACCATCTCATGGCAGGAGGTGACTACGATCAATGTTGCCAATCAACGCCAGCGATGGGGGTGGGGGTGCACGGCAAGTCTGAGGGCTGGCCAGGCCCCACCTCCCTTCACACCTCCTGTTGCCAGCTCCTTGGATTCTCTGGGGTCCCCCCACCTTCACGGTATCACTCCATCTGCTGAATGTCATCTTCAAATCCCCCCTGGCCCTTTAAGTCCTCTCCAACCACCTCCTGGGCCTCCAGGACAGATGAGCACGCCCTGAACGCCTGGGATCACTGCTGGACGCCCGGGCGGCTTTCCCTTTCGGGACAATTAACTGCTGACCTGGGGTCTGGGCCCCACATGGGACTCTCCTCTCCTGGGGGGCAGGCACTGGCTTCCCATTGTACCCAGCACACACCCGAGCTCACAGCACGTGTATCACATCCATCAATACCCTGACTCGGCTGCAGAAAGGATGAGCCGGCGAGACATAGAAAACGCTGGGATGTGTCACTCTGGTCGGGACACAGGCGGTAAGGGGTCCCCAGCACCCCCCTCGCTGCTGCCTCAGGTCCTGATCTCAGCGCTGCGAGCACCTGTTCTAAGCAGAGCTGAGCCTCTGGTACAAACACACTTCTGATATGACAAGAGCTCTTAGGAACCACACGAAAAAGAAACAATTCAACAATCAGAGAAATGAAGTCAGTAAGACAACTTATAGGAGAATAAACAGAACATTAACCTATGAAAGACGTCCTGGCACATTAAGAATTTTTACAAATATGAATTCAAATAGTAAGAAATCTTTTTCCTTCTCTTAGGTGGGCAGTGAGTAAAAAGAACGGTGACCCCGATGCTGCTGAGTGTGGGGGGAAGAAGCAGTGTCCCCCCCGGATCCGAGGATCCCAGAGGCGAGTGTAACACTGCCTCACGCCTCGGAAGGACGGCCTGTGACCCGGCGGCTCCTCCGCGAGAAACGCGTCCTTTAGGAACACCAGCACGCAAGCACGGAAACACATGCAAAGCGGACAGTCACGTCAGCACTGTGCAGGCCAGGGGCTGGCACACTGTTCTCTGAATGTACATGTTCTCGGCTTTACAAGCCCCACTCTGTCACCGCCACTCAGCTCAGCCTCGTGGAGAGAAAGCAGCCACGGAAGATATGTAATAAGGGGGCGTGGCTGCGTTCCGATCACACCGAGGAACAGAAAGGGCCCAGCCCCGGTGCAGACTCACAAAAGAGCTCAATTGGAGAGTGTACCAACAGGCAATCAGTTAAGCGCATCACAGGATTCAATGGAAGGCGGTGCGGCTGTTAGAGGGAGTGAGTCCCATGTGTAGGACAGAGATCGGGAAGTCCTGACATCGAAAGACAGCCCGAGAGCTTTAAGGAAGAAAGCAAGTTTCCAGACTATATGTATGTAGGATACCATTTGTCCCCCACCCCCCATTTCTGCTTTAAATACAGTCACACTCACACACACACACACACACACACACACATACACACACGTGCACACCCCCCACGCTACCAGGAAGAACTGTTTGCCCTAGGGAAGTGGTCGGCAAACCGTGGCTCGTGAGCCACATGCGGCTCTTTGGCCCCTTCAGTGTGGCTCTTCCACAAAATACCGACTTTCTGCCACGAAGTTTCTTTTTTTTTTTTTAAATATATTTTATTGATTTTCCACAGAGAAGAAGGGAGAGGGATAGAGAGCTAGAAACATCGATGAGAGAGATTGA